AAGTGCATTTCACAGTTACAAATTAAATACAGTAAACAATAAAATAAAATAGATAAAATATACAGAGGTTGGTAGTTGGGTCACCACAAGCACAGTGTCCACTGCCTGCAACAGCAACAATCAGAATAATAACAGAATGTCTGTCATGTCCTGTATTTACTTTCACCAGACCAGACCCCTGTACTGCAGGATTAACCTGAGTGTCCCAGTCCTGGACAGATTCTTCAATAATGAGGACACCAGGCCTGATTTCCGCCTCAGGAGGGAGTCTGTGACAGTGCTACTGAATCTACTGAACCAGGAACGGAGACATGGATGCGGTGCCCAGATCGAGGCCCCTGTGTTCCTCTTCTGGCTGGCGAGTCGGAGCAGCCTACAGGGTCGTGTCCAGGGTGTTCGCAATACCCCGTTCCACTGTCCACCGCATCGTGCACAGGGTCACAGAGGTGGTGGTGGCCACGCACCACCAGGTCATCCACCTTCCACGGACCCCAGAAGACCTAGATGCCATGTCCAATGGGTTTGCACAGCTGGCAGGCCACAGGGCCTTTGTGAAGGCTGTTGGTGCAATTGACTGCTGCCATGTCCCCATCAAGCCCCCCAGCGGCCCTGACGGTCAGTGCTACAGGAACAGGAAGTTGTTCCCGTCCATAATCCTGCATGCGGTATGTGACCATCAGGGCCGCTTTGTCGATACACATGTGGGCTGGCCGGGGTCAGTGCATGACTCCAGGGTCCTCCGCCACAGCCCACTGTACCGACAGGCCCGTTACCCTCCCCCAGGGCATTTTATCCTTGCAGATAGAACATCCACTCCCCCTCATCACCCCCTACAAGAGGCCAGTCCACAGTGTGGGAGCCCAGCGCTTTAACGCACATCACTCCAGGGCACGCTCTGTCATAGAGCGTGCCTTTGGAATGATGAAGACAAGGTTCCGTGTCATCTTCCTGCAAGCGCTGGAGGTGCACCACACCTCGTGCCACATGTATGTCACGCTAATACGAGCATCATTGTTGTTTGTCCAATCATAATGGCAACTGTAGTGCATACTCTGGCATGTACACTGTACAAGATTAAACATCTGTCGCAGGTCATAACAGCATGTACTGTGCTGCACAACATCTGCATCGGTGCTGGTGACATTGTGGCCCCAGATGAGGAACCCGAGGATGATGCCCAAGATG